ATATTTGAAAATACTTTAAATACTAACCATATCCCCAACTTAGAGGTTTATATTGCATAATTTCAAGACTCTGAGAACGCTTTGGTAAGTTAATGAACTTAACTCTCAAAATGTGTTAAAGCATTCATCGCCTTAGTCTTTGGGAAATGTTAGTTTTGTTTTCTTTATAGATACCAATGAGTAAAAAGAAAAAACAAAGCAAAACAAAAGTAAGATGTTGTCCAGTTCACAGAACCTTACACCTTCATTAAGAACAATAAAAATGGTGTATCTAGAGATAAAGCACACTATGTAGTTCAACAGAAATTATTTAGAACTATAGAGTAAGGCATATTTTAAACTACTAATGAGGCAAGACACACCAACTCCATGTACCAAAGGAGATTATGAGATGGAGCTGGAGTTCGGTAAGTGTTAACAAGAAAGGCTTTGTAGAAGAAGAGGGCTGATTATAATAAAGTTAATACTTTTCTATGATCAGGACCTTGTAAGTAGCAAGAAAATGGGTAAGCTGTTATCCCTCTGCCTACAATTGTGTATATCATCTTCAACCTTGAGATTTCTTTCCATGATTTCCCACTTGCATTGCCAACAGATTCTCCAGTGTTCCCCTGCATGTACTCTGTAAGCTTTCAATTGTCCAAGAGCAAAGCTGTCTACTCCGACCTCACTTACCACCATCTCCCACTAATGCTTCTGAGAACTCTTAATTCTAGTGTCAGGGAAAAGGAGAAAAAATGATATTTATCTGATTAAAGGCATTCACACCAACCTATAGCTTCAATCTTCCCTTTAGTCATCGATTCTATAATGACTCTGACAATTCTTCATGTAACCTAGGAGATGGTGCCAGTGTTAATTGTGAGATACCATAGATTTTAGTACACATCCACATTTCAGATCTTTTAATACATGACAGGTTATGGAATTTAGAATTGAAATTTCTGTATCACTGGTCATTAAGGTAAGGGAGAAGAGGACAACATTTAATTCTATTTTCCGTCTACCCTCTTTCTCACCTCACAAATACTCTGCAGAAGATACTCTTCTAAGGGCAGGAGGTCCAACAGTATTCAAGCTAGAAGAATATGCATTCCCACTGCAGAATAAAATGAATAATTGTAATTCAAAGTCCCCCAGGAGAATAATATGGATATTTACATCCATGTTTTATTGTGTGTTTCTCTATCACCTAGGGAACATGGTAGGCACTCGGTTAACATTGATTGAACAGATTTAGACTGAAAAGAAAATTCCCATACTTTATTGTAGGGCAATTTCTTTTGTGGAAGATTCTAGGTAGCATTTGAAGAGAACACATCCCCATCTTGTGGCAAGGAAAATAAATTCCCTTGAATTCACAGCTAAATTGCATTTCTCCTTCCAACTCCATCCTTCACATAAGCCCTGGTCCTCTAATAAAAACAGTGTAAGCAAGACTATTTATCACACTGGGAGCAGGCGGGCACCCAGGACAGATGAATCTTAGTGCTGAGACTTCAAGCAATCTGTGAGAATGGGAGAAAGGCTATCAGACCCGCAACAATGCAGTTACTCAGCTAATGATTCAGAGCCTGCTCAGTGCAGCCTTTTCACCGTTATCTAGCAATCTTATCCAGCAATCTCTCACCAGAAAGATCAAGGGAGGAAGACAAATGAAAATATGACAGGTTTAATTGAGGATTTGTATATTCTTTCCATTTTCCTGATTCTAATAGAAATCCTTTATGGGAAAATAACACACTAGGTTTTAATCATGGCAGGTTTTCCAAATACTTGAATTGTGATAATCACTCCTTGACAACTTGATTAGGAAGTACGTCCTGCATTATAAAAATGCATGTGCCTGATGTCTGATACTATAGTGCTGAGCTGGAAGTAGCTTATAATGGCTGGTGAGAACCTCTTGGACCTCCCTTTCCAAATATGTTTAGTAGCTTTAGGTGGGTAGCCTGAAATCTTCCATGATGGGAGTATTTGGGCCATAAATTCATTTGTTTTTTCTTTTCTTTGTTTCTCTTTCTTTCTTTCTTTTTCGTACTTGGAATCAAACTCAGGATCTGTGCCACAAAATTGATAAACCTCATCAAATGTATTTTTTTCTGGAAAAAATGTTCACATTTATTCCTATCACTATTGCTGATAGAGGAAATTGTCTTTCCCAAGACATTCAAAAAATGTATCTTGGGGCTGGGGATTTAGCTCAGCGGCAAAGCGCCTGCCTGGCAAGCGCAAGGTCGTGAGTTCGGTTCCCGGTACCGGAGAAAAACCAAAA